CAATTCTTAACAATCCCTTGGTTTGAGTTCAATTTCCTTCCCTCTCTCTCTCTTCATCATGTTCTTGGGCATCAATTTGAGGTAATGAGAGTAAAAAAAAATAAACTAGTGAAGTCAAGTAGGCCTTAGATAGGCTTGGATAAAAGTGTAATTAATTAAGGTTAATTTAGTGGACGTTAATTTAATCTAATTTAATTGTTCCAAATCGAATTTTAATTAAACTTACCATAAAATTCTATAAATTCCAATTGACATATAAATCAAGTCAATTTTTGAATTGGATGCCGATAAGGCCTTCAATTTGCAGAATATAACAGAAACTCAAGCAAATATTCCTAAAATAAACAAATGGAAATGTAAATAATGTACCATATATGCAATTAATTTAAAATCTGGTCTTAATATCTTATTAGACACATTAAATCATGAATTATCGTTAATCTTGGGTCGTAGTTGTTACACAAACAAACTAACTATATAACTGATTGAATCTAACTTGAGTGACTAGACCTTGGTGTAGTTTTTTTTTTTTTTTTTTTATGACCGAGGTATCCGGGCTCTGATTTTTGACCCGTCCGACTAATCCTCGGGGAAGCAATCACAGGAACCCACCGCTGTGGCTCCCATTTAAATCCCAAGTCTAATCCCAAGAGGAATCGAACCTGTAACCGTGCGCTTTACCCACACAGTCACGTGTACGCCCTTACCATTGAGCCACCTTGGAGGTGGGTAGACCTTGGTGTAGTTACTGGAACTAAATGTGATGTGGAAGTAATCTGAGCAGTACCACATCACACCGTGTTTGGTTGCATTGACTGTTTCGTTTGTTTCTCAATGGAGGATTGTTTGGTAAATACATTCTTGTGAAAATGACCATCTTTTGTCTCCAATAATGCTGCTAGGATAATTCAACTCATTAAAAAAATTGGACATTAAAATTTTGGTCAAAATGACAGAATAATTTATTTGGCGCAGTCAAAATGAGTTTTTTTTGATGTCTCTGAATTACACGTGATATTTGGCGGCAGTACTAATCTTCACAAATTTTTCTTAAAAAACACCTCTACAACAATTTTTTATATTAGTAAAAATTCACCGCTATACAATGAGTGAAAATTTTTTCCAAGTTAGAAATTGTTGTGGGGTTCATGCATATTCATTTAGCAATAGGTAGAAAGGCTTGAGTCTTGCATGTATATTAATTTTTTTTTATCAACAAAAGAATATTATTCTCACATTTATATGAATATTGGGTTCATCTTTATGGTTAATGATAAAAAAAAAATGAAAAAATTATTTAAAAATCCAATTTTAGAAATCTATATACCATGAAGTTTTTTATTTTTATTTTTATTTATTTTTTATTTTAGTAAGCTGGTAGATCCTGTTCATTTAGAAATATTTTCTATGAGATCCTATTTAATATATTATTGTGTCATGTTAAAATGTTTTTGCCCTTATTGATTGTTGGACTTTTTTTTTGGAATGTGTTACATTTTCCAAACATAACTAATACAAAACAAATAACAAAGCTTTTAGCGTACTTTTTCCAAATGCGAAACGTGATGACAACCGAACTTTTTAGTCAAAAAGTC